GACAGAGAGAGACATAGAGACAGAAAGCGAGAAATCACCCCCCAGGGGGGATGGTCACGCTACATCCCTTCTCCTCCATTCTCCTCTCGGGATCTTGGGCACGCACGCACACGCGCCCGGCGTGAGTTTTTTAAGCCACCGGGTCCGGGACACGAACTGCGGTCGACAACGTGGGAGTCCAGCGACATAGCCATTACGCTAACTGCTGGTTCCCCAGCTCATGTTTTTAACAGTTTATTTTCAGAGAAGTTTGGTTCATGTGACCTATAAGACATAATTTTGTCTGATTCTAATTTCCAAATAGGAAGGGGATCATGCATGAGAAGATAGAGGAAAAATTCACGTCCTTTTCTGTCAACAACTACCTACCTTTGTAAAATATTTGGTGCTTTGCTAAGTACACTCTCATGATTCCATATTTCAGAGACTTGTAAAACTGACAGGATCCTAAGATAGTTTATGGTTCACTGTTTAAATAATTTGTTTAATATCTCAATCAAGAGATTGTCTCTCTCTTTTAATGTGTTGGAAGCAAGAGAGCTGGTACCATAGAAAGATGAACTGGTATCTTTATGTTCTGAGGTGGCCTACTTCTTTTTTAGACAGGTCTAATTTTCAGTAAGTTTTGCTGTGTGTAAAGGCAAAAATCTGTTTCCCTGTTGTTTCTAGTTCCAATTCTGCCCTGTAAATCTTGATCTCACATGACATCCCTCTGATAGTTGAAGATGGCTATCACATCCCCTTGAGTCTTGTCTTCTCTTTGGTAAACAGCTCTAGTTTCTTCAGCAGAATCACCGATGACATTATTTTAATCCTTTCACTATTTCGACATCTTTTCTAGACACTCACTGTTTAATCATTGTCCTTTTTTTAGTGTTATTCCTTGAGCTATAAAAAATGATTCCAGATGTAGTTTGAATGGGACACAGAAGTGCAGGCTATCATCTCCCCAGATGAGAATGCTTTTCCAATACTGAAGTAGTGAAGAGTCTATGAGCTTTGGGGGCAGCTCTCACTTGAATTGTTATTGGGTTTGCTATCAACTAAAGCATCCTAGTCTTAACTGCTTCAGAAGAAGGCATCTGTTTCCCTATAGTTTCCAGTCCTAGTTCTGTCCTGTGACTATTGGTCTCACATGACATCCCTCTGATAGGCACATCCCTTCCGATAATTTTCTTTTTTTCTGTTTTGTAGTTTTTTTTTTTTTTCATCCCTAATGTACTTGACCTACTAGTACTGGTTTTGATTAATTTGTTCCAGTGTTTAAATCTTGTTAGTATTCTTTTAAATCTTGATTTTGTAATGTAAAAATATTTGGTTCGGCTCCTATGGGCTAAAACACTGGATTGGATCCTAGACATACATGTCTGGTGTGTTACTTTTTGTCACCTTATGATTTGGTGAGAACGCCTTCAGTGTTCTCACTAGGTTATTAATAACGACTTTGAAAGAAAGTTGGAGAGAGCAAGCCAAGTACTAAGCTTTATCCTCCCCTTCCTATAATTTTTTTTTTTTTTGTTTTGTAGTTTTTTTTTTTTTTTTCATCCCTAATGTACTTGACCTACTAGTACTGGTTTTGATTAATTTGTTCCAGTGTTTAAATCTTGTTAGTATTCTTTTAAATCTTGATTTTGTAATGTAAAAATATTTGGTTCGGCTCCTATGGGCTAAAACACTGGATTGGATCCTAGACATACATGTCTGGTGTGTTACTTTTTGTCACCTTATGATTTGGTGAGAACGCCTTCAGTGTTCTCA